CTGGGACATACACAACCCCCGCGTGAAGCTCGTCTCGTGGCCTCTCTGCTCCTTGCGCCGTTATGGCCGAGATGCCACACGCTTTACCTTTGAGGCGGGCAGGTAGTACCCTCTTTCCTCCCATCCTATCCCACACGGCCACTATGGAGACTGCTCTCTGCATGGCATTAGGCATACTCACTCATCAGCACTGTAACGGGGGGGGGGGGGGGGGGATAAAAAGGAGAACTTTATAGAAAATAAAGCCCCACATGTAACAGGCAGGTAGAGTGAAGCACAGCTCCCTGGCTCAGCCACTGCTGCCTTTGTGACGGAGGCCTCAGTACCAATTTCCTATAGGGGATTTAAAAAGCGCCCAGCCTGATAGGGAAGGCCCTTGCTGGGACTCAACTAGCCTGCTTAGACTTCAGCTCTGACCACCCTCTGTGTAACCTTGGCTGAGCTACTCATACTGGATGCTTTAGTTTCCTCTCCTGTAAAATGTGTGAGGAAACTGTTCAGTGTGCAAACCAGAAAAGCTCTTGGTAAACTTGTGCGAAGCTTTCAAACCTCTGCTGGGTATGTAGTAACTACTCAGCCCATGATTACTATGGCCAAGCCTCTGGACCCAGGCCATCTCTGAAGGCCGTGGTACAACCATAGCTGGCATATACAACTTGCATAACCGCACAGTGAAATTTCTGACACCTTGTCCTCCTTGCTACCTGTGTCCTTAGGATGTGTGACGCTGGGGAAGGACTCTACACCTTTCAGACACAGGAGGGGGAGCAGATTTACCAGCGGGTTCACAGTGCCACCCTGGCAATTGCTGAGCAACACAAGCGGGTCCTGCTGGAAATGGAGAAGAACGTGAGGGTGAGGCAGTGGCTGCTGCTCCAGGGCACTGGGAGGTGGGGCAGACATGCCAGCTAAGTCTCCACCAGCATGTTCGCAGGTGAGTCAGGCAGGACCTTGGGCTAGCAGCAGTGTCCCCAGAACTAACACTTGGGACCCTTCTCTGTGCCACAGCTGCTGAACAAGGGCACCGAACACTACTCATATCCTTGCACACCCACCACAATGCTGCCCCGCAGTGCATACTGGCACCATATCACAGGGTCTCAGAACATTGCTGAAGCCTCCAGCTATGGTGAGTTGTTGAGTCCCATCCCTGTGAAGGCCTCTTGGTCAAGGGTCTTTGGTCCTGGATTCAAATTCTGAGCCTGCATCTCTGTCCACAGGTGAAGGGTATGGGGCAGCCCAGGCCAGCTCAGAAACAGACCTCCTGAACAGATTCATCCTACTTAAGCCACAGCCCAGCCAGGAGGACAGCAGTGAGACCAAGACTCCTTCTCAGTGACAGCTGGACTGGTGGGTGCAGATGATTGCTGGGCCACCTGTTGGAAGGCTAACTGCAGCAGCCCATGGACAGCCTTAAGGAGCTGTTGGCCACAAGCCTGAAGAGAGCAAGCTGTCCCTCCTTGCCCTCAAGGGTGAGGCTGGACCTCAGCACATGGCTGGCCACACCACCTGAGCATGAGGGGCTGGAGCCACCGTGGGACTATATACTGTTGATGGTTTTAATATATATTGCTTATGACATTCTGTATTAATGAGGCTTCCCTTTATCCCTCCCTAACACATACCCATTTTTAATTCCATGACCAGGCATGGTCAAGGCTGTTTTTGAGTAAGAGGGCAGCCGTTCCTGTCCTCAGTGATACAACTCTCCTGCTGCCAAGACTGTTTGAGCTGCCAGGGTCAGAGGAGGACAATCAGCCTGGTGCTGTCTGCGGGCTCTTCCTCAGAAGTCTAAGGGCCAAGATAGCAGGTAGCTTCTGTCTTCTGGGCCAACAGAGACACAGGAAGGACCCAAATGTCACTGTACCATTTGGTAGCCTTGCCCTTAGGAGTTTTAAGCAGAGGTGGCAGCTGGTTTTAAAATGCACTTTCTGCACTGGCTCCTTCCTGCTCAATAGGCTGAAGATGTCTTCGGGCGGGGCACCCATTACCTCAGCAGTAGAGGATGGCTGGGCCAGCCCAGAAGGCTGCAGCAGGATTGCTGTGGGGAGCACCTTGCTGCTCCCTTTTACTGAGCGGGGGTACAGTGCTCCATAAGGGGAGTCACTTGCCCTGGGCCAGCCACCCCAGGCCAGATTCTAAAACCAAGACCTTCCCCTCTTCCCACAAGGTGCTGAGGCTCCCTGCTGAAATGCAATTAAAGCAATTGATTTTTTAGTGCTGGTATTTATTGACTACCGTGCAGAAGGGCTATCTTTCTATTCACATCAAACCTTTTGTTTCGTGTTTCTGTTTTTTAATACTTTAGGGTTCTGATTTGTGGGAACAGACCTTGTAAATAACCACTGTTGACATTTGTGGCAGGATGATAAGGAGGCTCCCTCCCAGAGGGGCCCAAGAGCCAGGGAGGTGACTCGGCCAGCCCAGCTCTGACTGACCTAAGCAATGAGCACCCAGAGGTCAGCTAGTCTGTAAAAGAAATGGGCCCAGATCGAGAGGGAGGCAGAGCTGGCTCAGTTAGCAGCACGATGACGCATGAAGGAGATTATGTTGTGCTCTTTATTGCCAAAAATAAAAACTTGTAAAAAGACAACTATTGTTGATCAATAAATATCCCTTCCTTTCTGTGCTGGTGTGTGCTTTTCCCCAGGCTGCCTGAAAACCACTATGGGCAGGTCTGTTCCTACCTGGAGACGTGCTAAGGGAAAGGCCTGAACGTCACTAAAGAGAAAGAAAAGTTGTCTGCCTCCCACCCCCACCCCCAGAGTCAGGCCAGAGTGTCAAACAGCAAGTTTACCCATGGACAGAGTATAGCAAGGGTCTAATACTAGTCCTAAAAAGTGACATTTTAGCTTAGGGTCACCTGAAACTTCAAGTACCAGTAACTTGGCCCTGACCCTGGGAAGGACTTGAAAGGTCACAGGCTGCTTCTATGAAAGTCCTAATACTCAGATCCAACACCAGAAGCCTAAGTTACAGCTGTAAACTCCTTCCTTGGGTAGAGATTTAAAAAGCTGGAGTGACCAGATGTCTAGGTCAAGTGGTTCTCAACTAGGAAGCAATAAGGCTCCCTAAAAGTGAGCTAGGAAACGGGATGGAAGGGGTAACTAGTGTTCTAAGGAATACCATGGTGATCAACAAGGTAGGTTCCAGAATGCTAAATGCCTAGTGAAAAACTGCTCTGTCTAACACCAGTGAACCCCTGGCAATCTCTCCGGTGACGTTCCAGGCAGCTTGAGCAGCTGTAGTCCAGAGCCTAGAAACCAGAAGGGCTCCCAAGACCGTAGACCTTGAACCCAGTCTTCTGCAGCGGGTGAGCTATGGTTAGTTTATAGTAAGCACATCACTCTGGATCTCATGGCTTAACTGAGTCTGTAAATCACTCAGCTTCTTCTTTAACCCAGAGAGGGCAGAGAGGACAATGGTTTCAGGGCGCAGTGAGCCACAGGACTCCACATTGTAGTAAAACCTGAGAGACAAGAGTAGGGTGAGAGCTGTCTCAAGGCAGGCTTCCCTTCTATCCTGTGAGATGTGATTTCATTTCTATGAGGCACTTATCTTGGGACAAGGCTGACTTCCCTTTACCTAAAAGGTCTTATGCAGAGTGGTCCAGATCCACTTTGAAGTTCCTCAAGGAAGCTACAGCTACTTCAAAAGAGCATTGTTAAGCTGAGTGGTGGCGTCGCACGCCTTTAATCCCAGCACTTGGGAGGCAGAGGCAGGCGGATCTCTATGAGTTCAAGGTCAGCCTGGACTACAGAGCGAGTTCAATGATAGCCAGGGTTGTTACCCAGAGGAAATCCTGTCTTGAACCCCTCCCCGCAAAAGAGGGCATTGTTGAAAAACTCTAAAATGACTGTGTATGTGCAATTCTACACCAGAGAGAGACAGCAGGAAAAGAAAAGAAATCACACATGACACTGGCTGCAGCTCTTCAGCTCTCAGTTCTTCAGGGCAGGGCTACGCACAGTCAGTTCTGCTCTGGTGTGAGCCCCAACAGGCAGGCCAGAAACAGCATGAGGCAATAAAAAGGCCCCTTTCTTCATGGTGACCAGAGAGGGATGAAGACCAACTCAGAATGTATATATGAATTTGACAGTTCTCCTGTCACATGGGAGGCAAGGAGGGGGGTTGGATAACAGCTGTGATTGCCTAACAGCTTCCCAGACCTATATTCTTACAATTATAGTCCCAAGCAGGACCGGGTTCTTACCTCTCTGGCTTGCCGTTGGGGTCATAGGGAGCCTGTGACTCGTCCTCATCCAGTTCGGAGTACTCACTCTTTGGCCTGAGGGTAAGCATGGGTGAAGCACAAGTGGTGACTTCTGCTTTTAGCAAGGCCCTCGGAGCACCTCCCTACCCCTCATTACAGCCAGTGCTAGTGCCCCTTCCCCCACAGAGCATACCATTCCTCAGGCTTGGGATACACCGTGTGCCTAAGTGCGTTGTCTGGATCATATTCAAAAGCTACCCCTGCAGTGGGGTTCCACTTGGCATGCTCCTTGCCAAAGCCCTTCTTGGCATAGGCTCGAAGTCTCAGCTCCTGGCCCTTCCTCAGCTTGACAATAAGGATGTCTGCAGGGAAAGGTGAGAATGAGCCAGGAAACAAAAAGCAGCCAGTCCTCCAACTTCTGACCTGCAGTCCTAGATGAAGATAGCCCACATCTGGGTAAACAGTCTAAAGATGAGCGACAGAGACCAGGCAGCTCAAGAGGGTGCATCTGGCCTCTGCACTCTCTGGCCACAAGCATGTTCACCCAACCTCCTTACTACCCTGCCCCATCCTCTTACCATCCTGCTCCACGTAGTCATTGGGGTCATTATCCCGGTTCCGGGATGTCACCTGTAGGAAGTCCAAACAAACCTCTCAGTCCCCTCTGGCAACTGTCTCCCAGTAAATTCTGGCTGTAGTCTGTCAAGCCAGGGAAAGGAAGCCTGAGACGGAGGTGGCAGAGTTGTCCAAACAGCCTGATGGCCTTTAAGAGGGTCTAGAACAACATAGGGCACCTAGCACCAATATGGCTCTGTTCAAGCACTCAGGAACCAGCATTTCCAGGTGGCAGTTAAAGTAGATGGTCACTGGACAGGTGACTTTATGACATCTCATAAAGATCCACTCCAATCTGTCCCACTTGAAGCCAGAAAGGGAGAAGCAAAGGCACTTACCGGAATAACCCGGGGGCTGTTGGAGATGAGATCTCGAGAGGTAACATGACGAGTCTGATCTTCATTGCACCTCACGTCAAGGGTGAATTCCACAGAACATTCAGGGCAGAACTCTTCGCACGTGCAGTCCTGAAGGATGGGCAGTAGGAATAAACAGACCAGACTCCCTGCTTCTACTGACCAGCTCCTTTCAGTTTCTTCTTGGCAATAAGGGGCCGACCACAGTCTCAGGCCTCTTCTGGGCTGTGACATCTGGTACACCATCCTCATGGTTGCTCAAGCTTATGGACATGCCATCTACTCACTGACAACTACACTTCCTTGCCATGGCCATGGCTATAGGCTACCACTAGGGGGCACACTGCCACAGATGACCAAGGTGGTTATGGGACTATAGTTTCTACCTGCAGTGATACTCAGACCAACTTGGGAATTACAACGAGCAAGAACCTTTCAAATTCTAGATTACCCGGAGTGGGGAGTCCTCATGTGGCCCAGGCTGGCCTGGAATACACTACATAGCTGAAGATGAACCTTAAACTACAGATCCCCCCATTACTACTTCCCAAGTGCTAGGGTTATACAGGCATTCAGCTAATCTTTACTTCAAAACCTCTTACAGAAAATTTCACCCATATACAAAAACATAGAGGACTGATTGCCACTTATCACATACCCACCTTCCAGCCTCTTAATTATCAACATCTGCCATTCTTTGGGGTGTTTTGTACATTCCTAGACAGGGTATATCTCACTAGGTAGTCTCCTAAATAGTGGGATACAGGCATATAGGATTACAGCACATTGACATGTGCTCAAGTATTTACAGGAGAAAGCTCAGGATGCTTCTAACTTATTTTCTAAAAGGTTAGGGGAAGATAACACTATATAAGAAATGAGGCAAATGTAATAAAACATTAGCATTTGGTAACTACAGAGGGGAAAAAAGGGGGCATTTTATTAACGTTTCTCAGCCAGACATGGTAGTACATGTCTTTAATCCCAGCACTCAGGAGGCAAAGCAGGCAGATCTCTGGGAGTTCAAGGCCAGCCAGGGCTACATAGTGAGACCCTGTCTTAAAAAAAATAATAAATAAATAAACAGGGTTGGAGAGATGGCTCAGAGGTTAAAGAGCACTGACTGCTTTTCCAGAGGTCCTGAGTTCAATTCCCAGCAACCACATGGTGACTCACAACCATCTGCAATGAGATCTGGTGCCCTCTTCTGGCCTGCAGGGATACATGCAGGTGGAACACTGTAATAAATAAATCTTTAAAAAAGATATAGAAAAACAAAACAAAATAACAACAACAAAAACCCACCCTCCAAAAACAAATGTGTTTGGGGAGGCAGGTCTGGAGCACTTGCTGCTCTTGCAGAGGACCTGAGCTCAGTTCCCTGAATCTACATCTAGCAACTCACAATTGCCTGTAACTCTAGCTCCAGGGGCTCCTCCAGGGGCTCTGCTGGCCTCTTTTGACCTTTTCCAGTACCCTAACCCATCTGCACACACAATACAGAAGCAGACATATACACACATAAAAGTGAAAAAGCTATCTTTAAAACGAGAATTATTGGCATTCCAGGGTGTGTCCCCTTCTGTGAGGCACACTGATAAGATGCCTGGATGTGCTGAAAACACATCAGAACCAAAGATCACAGTATTAAGATATCACTTCCACAATGGCTTTCTAAACTATGCTATAGTCAGAACGTAGGAAGAAAGATTTCTGGGAGAACTAGTCAGTCCCTCCTGAACCCCCCTTCCTGTGCCTCCAATCTACCCATCAACACACATACCCGGGAGTACTGCAGCTTGTCCACAATGTCATCACTAGTGAGGGGGATCAATCCTGCAAGACACAGAAAAGTTGTTTTGTAGTACAGCTAAGCCATCACAAGAACCTACAAGTAAGTCCCTCAGGCTGGGAAAGGAGGTACCCCCCCTTTAATCCCTTCCACTTCTCAATGCCCTGCCCAAACTTACCAAGCCTGTGAGCAATGAATTCATCATGAAGGACTGAGGAATTGGCATCAATCTGAACCCAGTCAATGGCTGGAAAAGGCAATCAAACAGCACAAGTGAGACCAACCACCATCTGAGAATCTGACATCCTCCAGCATCTCCAGACATACAGCCCTGTTCTCAAGACTTAAGTATTACTTAGTGATCAGCACTTGGAAGGCAGAGTCAGGCAGAACTCTGTGAATTCTAGGACAACCAGGGCTACAAGAGAAACCTTGTCCTGAAAAAAAAAAAACCAACTAACCAACCAACCAACCAGCCAACCAACCAAACACCCCACCCCACCCCCCCAAAAAAAACCAACCCAACCAACCAACCAAATTTATAAAAGAAAGAAAAGAATCACTGTTTTTAGGGTTGATGGTATCCAGGCCAGGCTGCCACAGACTGCCTCCACAGGGCTAGCTCGAGGTTCAGGCAGCCAATTTAAACAAACCACACACACATACACACCATACCTAACACCGTGCTGCCTCCAGTGAATTGGGTATAGGGCTTACTGGTACCATAAAAATAAACATTCACTTAGAGAGTATTTTAGGAGTGTAATAATTAGGGAATTGAATATTTCCCCAAAGAGCACTTTAAATCTGCTATATTCTGTTACTATCATATCCAAGAACAAAAGCTATTTGGGCACTTAGAAGTTGGGGGAAACATGGGTTGGAGGGATGGCTCAGTGGTTAAGAGGTTCCCAGCACCCATGGCAGGTGGCTCACAACTGCTTGGAACTCCAGCTCCAGGGGAATCTGAGACCCCCTAGTCTCCTCTAGCACCTGCCTCCACCTGCACAGACCCACACACAGAGACATAATTAAAAATAATTTAAAAATTTAAAGTTAGGGAAAACATCATAGAAGCAACACTGCTGTGATCCACATCTCATTTTATGAAATAACCAGATCACCCCTTAGAATTTCAGTGTTACTCTCATCAGTGGCTGTTCACTGAACATCTTCAATAGGAAGCAAATACTAACAATAAAACCCAATCCCTCCCATTTCATTGCTCGCAGAATAAGACTATGTGCTTACAGAGGCTTCACTTAAATATGTACCTAGTCATTCATAAGCAAACACCTGCATGTAAACAATGAAATTCAGAAACCAAATGGTGTTAGAGCCCAGTTCTCAAATAACCGGCATGGACACATGGAAAAGAGGTCAGAAGACCAGACAATGATAGGCTCAACCTGCTCTGCCCTGCAGTACTTCCTCAACCCAAGCAAGGGCACACATCCAAGCTTTCCCATGCCTTTATTCTACCTCCCCACCCTCCCACACCCTGGCAGGTGAAAACTCCTAGCCTCTAAAAACCTTGTGTGTCTACAGATGCTGCCACTCCCTCCTTTTGAGCTCCCTCCCTCCCTTCCTTCCTTCCTTCCTTCCTTCCTTCCTTCCACTGTCTGTCTGTCTCTCTCAAAAAAAAAAAAAAAAAAAAAAAAAAAAAAAAAAAAAAAAAGAAAACCTGATGAAAACCCCCCAAGACACCTGTCATTTTTTGCCTTGTGTTTGCCCATGTCTTGTCTCTACACCTAGCTTGGAATGTACATGATCTACACATGCAGAGGAAGTAAGAGATCCATTTTTTAAAAAGAGACTTTTTAAAAAGTGGTATTACAAACACACACAGAGTATTATTCAACCATAAAAAAACAAAAGTATGTCATTTGCAGGAAGAAGTCATAAAAATAAACATGCTTTCTCTCATGCGGAATCTCAACTTTTTTAAATTTTTATTTTTATTTATTTTTTGAATCTCAACTTTTAAGAAGGGAGAATTCGGGGCTGGAGAGATGGCTCATAGGTTAAGAGCACTGGTTGTTCTTCCAGAGATCCTGAGTTCAATTCCTAGCAACTACATGGTGGCTCACAACCATCTATAATGAGATCTGGTGCCCTCTTAAGGCCTGCAGGCAGGACACTGTATACATAATAAATAAGTCTTTTAAATAGAGTTCCAGGCTGCGAGATGGATCAGCAGGGTAAAGGCACTTACTTGTCAAGACTTGAGTTCAATCCCTCCCACAAGCTGTACAACCTCCACACATGCATATATACGTAAATAAATATGTTTTAGAGAAGAGAGAGTCAGAGACAAGAAAATATTGCAGGGTACTATCAAGAAGGCCGGGAGACAACAGTAGTAGGGGAATAAAAGGAAAGGATGGGGAAATGAATACAATTCAAGTACTGGGGGGGGGGGGGGTCCGTGAAAATGTCCTAACGAAGCCCGTTATTATGTACAATTAACATACGTTTTCAAAAGACACCCAAATCCAACACTGACTTAAAAGTAAAGGCGCGATATCTACACGACTTCGGTAATCCCGGGTATCATCTGTTAACGAGTCCTAGCGTCTACATCCTATGGATAAGGAGGCCGCAGCTCTCAGCTCTTTGGTAGTGCTTAGTCTTAATTTATCTGTTGCTTTCGGGTAGTCAGAACTGTGCTGGGATCCACACTGCCGAGCAAGGCGCGCACCAAGGCTTGCTGGCCCCGGCGGCCCCAGCCCAGCGTGCAGCACCGCAGTGTTCTCAGCCCCCCGCCTGGGGCCGAGGGGCAGCGGCAGGGGCCCCGGGGGAGGGTCGCATACCTATTATGGGCACCTCGGCGATGAAGACCCTCCGAATGGAATTGGCCACCCTACAGGAGGAAAGCCAGACCGTGTGAGCGGCCCCGAAGCCACAGCCCCGCAGGGGGCCAGAGGACCCGCCCGCCCGCCTCTTTCCCGCCGCCTTACGCCAGGTCCGTGTTCTCGATGATGAATTTGACGTTCTCTTCGGTGAGTTCCGTGATCCGCACGGTTGGCTGGTTGGCGTACGGCATTGCGACCCGCAGCCAGTCTCCCGAGCCAGTCCCGCAGCGCGCCTGCGCCGCCACCAGCAATTTGTCGGCGGGGTCCCTGGCGCTTCCGGCTAGGCGTGCGCGCAGCGCCACCTGCTGACCGGAGGCCGAAACTCTCCTGGTCTGCGTTTTCTAACCACACTCTCCAAAATTTCTGCTTCCAAAAAGCACCAGGCCCTACACTCTTGGAATCCCCAAGATATATAGCACAAAGGTCAAAGGTACATGTACAGGGTTATTCATACCAGTGCTACTTACTTGTAATTGCTAAGAATAACTCATTAGGTAATGATGGATGGAGACTTGGTTAAACATACATACATATGGGGCTCAATGGTTAAGAGCACCGGCTGCTTTTCTGTAAGACTTGGATTGGATTCCCAGCGCCCGAATGGCGACTAATGCCTTTAACCCCAGTTTCTGGGGATCTGATGCCCTCTCCTGGCATGAAGGCACGAGGTATGCACATGGTGCACAGACATACATGCAAGCAAGACACCCGTATACATAAATAATTTAAAAAATATTCTATGCCTGTTATTCTTGGATCTGGATGTAAACAGCTCTCAGCTACTTCTCCAGCACCATGCATGCTGCCATGCTCCATGCTGCCATGATGATAATGAACTAAGCCTCTGAAACTATATGAAGCAAGGAGACATTTGACCAGTAGTAAGAGGGCTTCTCTTACTAATGTGAAAGAGAGATGGCAATTTGACACATTTGTTTGAGGGGGCATCTGCTGGTTTCTGGAAGAAGGATCAAGGTTCTAAAGATTCTCAGGGGAACCATGTGAAGATAATACAGTTCTTACCTCTCATCAAAGAAATTTTTCTTTGCAAAGGATGGAGACCATTACAAAAACAAAACATCAAGAACAACAACAACAAAAAAACCCACAACCAGTTAAAATTGCAGAGAACAAGAGACTGTTGTGTGCTCAGTCTCAACTGATACATCTGCAGCTAATTCAACACCCAAGGCTCAGGGATCCTTGAGGAAGGAGGAGTGGAATGACTGTAAGAACCAGAGGAACGTTACGTTTGCCGTGAGATTGTGTCTCCTAGAAATGTTACAAAGGCTACACACATCAAGTCTCACCAACATTACTGCCTAAATGAGGCTTGAACAACGACGCCAATGGACATGTTAACATGGAAGGGAGAGGGATCTCAACCCTACACAAAGAACCGGGGGATGCTGAAAGTGGTAGAAATAACCTTCCTCAGGGAAGAGCCCTGCAATGGGTTATCCAATATAATATCAAAAGCCCCAGGATCATATAAATACAGGTAACATTACAAGAATTGAACAGGTTGTATTCATGTATTAGGAATGTGTGTGTAACAATAATTAACAAAAAACTGGGACATGGATTTGAGAGGTATAAGGAAGGGGCAGGAGGGAAGAAAGGGAAAGGGGAAATGATGTAGTTATATTATCATTTTAAAAATAAAAAACATAAGAATAATTTAAAAACACAGAATACAACGAAACCTTTTAAAAGAATGAGGTTGTGGCTGGGTGGTGGTGGCGTTGGTGGCGCACACCTTTAGTCCCAGCACTAAGGAGGCAGAGGCAGGCAGATCTCTGTGAGTTCAAGACCAGCCTGGTCTGCAAGAGCTAGTCCCAGGACAGCCTCCAAAGCCACAGAGAAACGCTGTCTCGGAAAAAAAAATTAAAAAAAAAAAAAGGATGAGGTGTGCATCTATAGATGAACAAGAGGGCTGAAGAAAGTGACTAAGTGTGTTAAGATGATTTATATTCTAAAATGAGGGGCCAAGTTCAAATCCTCAGATCTCATGTAAAGCAGGGCATGGCAATGCAGCTCTGTAATCTTAGTGCTCCTTTCAGTTGGAAGGTGGAAGTTCTCAGCCAGTTAGATGATGTACAAAGAAAAGTTCTCAGGCCAGTTAGATAATGTACCTCGACACAAACAACAAAAAACCCACACCTGAGCTAACTTTAGCAAGAGTGCTAACACACACACACACACACTTCAGCAAGTGCTGAAACACGCACACGAAAAACAAAACACATGTCTTTTATTACATGTGTGTATGTACACAATGGTTGTCGACACATGTGTGTGAAGTCAAAGAACAATGTTGGAATCAATTCTCTCCTTCCACCATGTGACCCCCTGGGACTGAACTTAGGATGGCAGGCCTGACTGCAAGTGCTCTTACCACTGAGCTGCCTCAAAGGTCCCCAAAGTATACTTCAACAATGCCCATGTGTTGAATGATACACTTTCAATGTACTTCTGAAGTAAAGATATAATGCTCTCCACTTCTACAGATCTGTGTAGTTGCACCTGAAGCATTTAAATGGGCCTCAAAAAAGTGGCTCACACAGAGAAAAGAGGCCCTTAAACAGAACCCTGAAAGAAATGCACTCAGAAGGCAGAAGTTACCAGAGAATAAAGAGTTTGCTGTAACAGGGGTGACATTTCTTCCTGAGGTAGAGGAAGGCATTGACATGGGGGGGGGGCTGCTCCAAAGCATACACCATCCCAGTGAATTATAAATCATGCTCGTCTGCAGAGTGACAGGAATGCTACAAAGGATAAAGTGTAATAACCACGGCAGTAACTTTATGGGATGGCAAGAGGCATAAAAAAGTCAGAGTTACAGAAAGAGTCCGATAGAAAACCCAAAGACAAGATCTGATTGAAACAGGAGAGTAGCACAGAAGACAGTGCTCACCATGGGCTTCAAGGGAAGCCCAGCCAGCATATGGTCTGGAGGACCATGAAAGCTGAGGACTGCCTTCAAGTAGTCAGAGACTAAGCAAAGACAAGGGAGCTCATGGCCTCTGGAAAGTTCTTATCGTCATGTGACTGACAGAATACCTGGGCCCAGAATGCAGAGCTGTCATAGTGACCCTGTAGGTATGAGGCAGTGAAAAAGCCAGAACTCAGGCCCCTTCCATGTACTACTGTCTACTACTGCTGGGATCTAGGATACTCGACATTGTCTAGATGGAAACTGTACAACAGGAAATTGTTTCAAACATATTTATTATTTTTACAGATTCTAAATACACTAGTGACCTTGCAATGCATGCTGGTGTCTGTGATGTGAGGACTGGGATCACATTTCTGGCCAGGCTCAGCATGACTGTCCAGAAGGCACCTGTCTCAGGGAAGGCAGCTTTCTGAGGGGACCCAGAGGAACAATGGCCAGTGGCAAATACCTCTGTGCTGGAGAAGGAGCTGCCACTGCGTGGTGGTTTCTGACCTTGGTGTGAGCTCCTAAGATTATTTGGAGATTTTGTTTGAGACAGGGTCATACTATGTAGCTCAAGCAGGCTTGTAATTCTTTACATAGACAAGCCTGGCTTTGAACTGTCAATCCTCCTGTGGCAGTCTTCTGAGAATACAGGTTACCATGCCTAGCTCCCAGAGAGTAGTTCTAAGGTCAAGACATGATCAAGATTCCCGTGAGACCATGGCAGTCATGCCAAGTTCCTGTGGCTTGAAAGCTTGGATGTAAGTCTCATTTTTCAGTCACACAGCTGCAATGCAGAAAGGCATCAGGAGGTCAGGCCTGGTATGAGGAACTGAAGAAGTGGCCCAATTTGAGATCAGAAAAGTAGCAAGTGCATTGTGGTTTCCAGCCTCATGGCTGTCATAGTAACTCCAACTTCTTCTTCACGGTGTTCTCATTAACATGCTGTTCGATGGACGGTGCATGTTGTCAAAGCTCCTTCCAGGTACATGGGCTCCCCCTTTCTCTCACCGGCGCTGGTTTAGACCTGTCAGGTTCTTGAGCTAACACAGGGATAGAAGCAGAGAGAGTGGTGAGGCTTGCCTTACCTCCAAGACTACAATGGGAAACCCTGGATTTTTCAAGGCAACAGGTACAGCTATGACACAGATTCAAGCATACTGGGGGCCCAGAGGCAGAAGTGGTTTTGGTTTTTGAGGTTGTTGGTTTTTTGTTTGTTTGTTTGTTTTGAGAAAGTTTGCCATGTGGCCAGGCTGGCCTGGAACTTTTTATCCTTCTGCCTCAGCATGAATGAGTGATGGAATACAGGTATACATTGCCTCTCCTCCCCAGCTCTAGCAATTGTTTCTTGATGCCAGCAAAGAAAAGGTGGGGTATTCATTTGAGAATAAGCTAGTAAGGCTAAACCAAGATCAACTTTATTCAGTGTGCAGTCCAAAGCTATCTGGGTTGGTGACATGTTACAAACAGCATGGGGCCAGAGTGGAACAGGAGGCAGGCAGTGGTGAACTGGGCAGTACTTACCGTGACTGCTGCTCCCATCAGGCCTTGTACCAGTGCTTCTCCAGTGGACTTCACCTAAGAGGGGTCTGGGTCAGATTCTGCTAAGCCCCCAGAGTGAGCTCAAAGGTGAAACAGGTAGGTCAATTCAGGAAGCCTATGAGCCCCACAGTGGAGTCAAGATGGTTTAATGTACTGGAAAAGAGACTATAGACAACACAGGCACTGACAGACAAAGCAGACTTTTAAGGAAGGTCTAGTATGAGGAAGAAACAGCCAGCCTCCTTGGGAAGGACAACAGGTGATCACACTTGGCTTGAGGCAGACAGGTGTGCCTACTGAAAAGCATTTCCAAATGGTCAGTCCCCAACTACCTGCTTAGCTGTATGGCCCATGTTCATGGCATCATTAATCCGGTTTTCCAGGAAACGCCAAGTATCTTCAAAGTCTGGGGAAGAGTCCTGCATCATCACCAACTCTGTTGTGTTGTAGATGCCAGCCAGCACCGCACGGCGGGTGTACCAATTAAACTGTAGAGAGACCCATTCGGCAGGTGTGGAATCACTGCTCTGTGTATTAGGGAGTCTGGGTTTTTCCCACTCAAGACCTGAGGGACTCCCAGGTTTCCTCCTCATTTCTTCTCTCACTGACACATATGGCCCTCTGGATACCACCACTTTCCTGAACTTGGCTGGGCATCCGAGCTGCCTGTGAGATTAAAACTGTAAGCTCATGGCCCCAACCTCTTAGGTTGAGAGTCAGAGGGTCTGAATTAAGTACTAGGACCAGGGGGTTTAACAAGCAGCTGAGGTGATTTGACTG